ATCAGGAGTGATTAGAGTGCTATAAGCTGAACCTCCAAAGACAGAGAATGAAGAATGGCAAAAAAACAATAATGTTGCACACTGAGTGATAGTGGTAAACTCGACGGATTCATTTTTACATTTCGCTCAAAAGGAAGGAACTGCAAAAGAATTGATTCCAAGATTAGATGCCATTTATCAAAGAAAAAGTCTGGCTACGGAACTATCAATTCGGAAGAAAATGCTTACATTCAAAGTACAAAGTGATAGTACTTTATTAAAACATTTTTCTGAATTGAAGGAGCTTTTTGTAGCATCCGGTGGGACATGACGGTATGACATGAAGTGAAAAATATAAAGTGGCACATGTGCTGCTCACATTGCCCAGTTCCTGTGAAAGTATACTCACTGAGATTGAGCAATTATCCCCTGACTGTTTCACTCTTGCAGATATTCAAAGCAAAATTATTTGACTTTGAAACCAAACGGATTCATGAACAACGGGATACAAGTGCAAAAGTTTTAAATGTGGTAGTGACTGGTGAAATTCAAGCGAATTCCAAACCATATAGTTTTAAAAATCGAATGAAAATGAACAGGAAATTGGCAACTTGTTTTGAGTGTGAAGAACGGGGCCACCTAATGGCAAATTGTTTCGCACAGAAATTTATAAAATCAAAAGAAAATGAAAATATAAATTCATTCCGAATGTGGGGCAAGCCTGGCGAAGGTAAAAGGAGGAATACTTCACATATAGCAGAAATGGAGAACACCAAGAAGGCAAATGCAACATCTCATTACATTAAATCTGAAGGATGTTTCTTTTATTCTGGACTCCGGGGCTACAGATCACATTATCGGTAGGGAGGATTTAGCGAGTGAATTCAAACGGTTGGGTAGACCGATCAACATCTCAGTGGCGGAGGTTGACGAGCACATTACAGCAATAAAACAAGGATACCTCATGCCTGTATCTCCTGCTAGGGTGGATGGAAAAAATGATTTTATTCTATTCATCGATCAGTATACACACTATTGTGTCTCATACACCATTCAATGTAAATCTGAAGGTTTCAGAGTTTTTGTACCAAAAGATTTTGTACCAAAAAGTGAACCCAGATTCGATTTGAAATTCGTAAATTTATATTGTGGTAACGGAAGGGTATATTTGTCGAACGAAATGAACGACTACTGTACAGAGAGAGGCATAAGATGTTACTTGACAGTCCCAAGAACCCCACAGTAAGCACGCTATATAAATTGCAACGTATGGAGGAAACTATTTGTCTCCTCAACATATGGATATCAAATTCGTGATCAGAAGGTGAAAAACTATCGGTTAGGATGTAACCCACTATAATAGAAATTTACAAAATTTTTTTTTGGAATTTTTAAAATTTCAAATTTTTTTTTAATTAAATAAAAAAAAATGAACAAAATCGGTCCACTCTGGGATTGGCAGGAATAATCAAAGAATTAGCCGAAGTGTTCCTTGAAAAAAAAAAATTATTTAAGCCAAAATAGAGAACTTTGAAGCAACAGCGTTTGTCTTTTAAAACGAAAATTTCATCGAGTTGATCATATTAAATTTTTTTAATATTTTTTTTGAAAGATTCACTCAAAAACAAAATGTTGTAAAAAACAGGTACCAAAACGTCAAGTTTTTGAAGAAGTTATGGCTATTTAAAAATAGACAAGTTATTTTTTAGAAAAATTCTTAAGTTTTTTCACATTGCATAAAAAATTTGGAAAAATTCCGAGAAACCTTTTTCAACTCCTTAAAACCTCAAAGCTAAAAAATTGTCCAAAAAAATAATTTCCTGTGTTCATACTAGACCACTATCGTTTAGAAAAATCTCTGGAACAAATTATTATAATTGCATCAACAGTCTATGAACGCGGCTACGAAGAAGAAACCATCAACCATGTCTTGTCCAGGCAATGCCTATTACACGAAGATTCCAGACAAATAATGTACAGCATAGTTAGGATAAGTTTTTACTCTTTATTGAGTACCCCCCTCCACGCAGTTACCAATTGTAATAACTCCACTCCCACTCCTAAAATCAAAGCAAAAAGTTATGCTGATTTGAGTATGTCAGAAGCATGTGAAACCAGATTTTTTGCCACCGTACCAAATACGAAAATTTATAATAAGACTGGAGGAGAGGCCTCTTGTTATAACTTGTTATAAAATTTATTTTTATTTTATTTTTAATTAATTAAATTTAATATTATTATTAATATTATTAATATATTTTTATATATATATATTATTATTATTATTATTAATATTATTATTGTTATTATTATTATTAATATTATTAATATTTTAATTAATTTGTATTTTTTAATAACTTTTTTTGAAGTTATCTGTGCAAATTTAACACTTGGATGTTCAGAACTGTTTGAGATTCGAAAACAAAGCCTATGTTAAAATTACAATTTTTTGGGTGTACTACTTTGTCAACTCAGTACAGTTCTGACATTCCGCATCCAGTATTCGGTTATGAATTGATCCGCTCATAAATGATCATAAGTGTAATCCCGAGTTTCGGTCAGCTAGTTTTATACACAAACTCAAATAATTCAATAGTATATCCGTTTCGATTCAAATCCAGTATGTGAAATATAAAAAGTGATTTTTTTATCGGAACATGAAAAGATTCAGATTCACCAATTACTTCCTCAGCAAATGTTATGTTCTGAATATATCATAGACCAGATTGAATATATGCACGGATTGCAGTCTATACACAGAAAGGAGGCCGCCTCTCATCGCGTATGCATCCGGCAACTATGGTTGAAGAATCTGAATGAAGAGTATGAGGGATGAAAAAGGCAGTATCATGCATATTTACAATTATAAGGTGCCTTTCCGCCATTCACGGGGGCGGACGGGAGGGTGAGGAAGGAAATAGATTTGTAAATATTTTCTGACGAAACGGGGGAATATTCTTCGCCTTACCCTGAAAGAAAAAATTCTTCGACCAAGTTTTTACGTGATTGATCGTCATTCATTCTTTTTTATTCTTGATTCGAGTGTGAAATATTTGAAACCAAGAACTTGATACAAGTGCGGACATACTGGGATCCCGTTTGTGATATTTTCAAAATATTCTGAAGCAATTCAAACACGTCTGTCCTTGATTCAATCCTGCGTAAGATTGATTAAAATATATATGCGTTCATACCTAGAATTGATGAAAAACAAAAGTATGATTCATCGTCGTGAATGCCCGAATTTGTAATCCAAGGGTACGCATACTTGATTCAATTTTTGTCACGATCAACGTGAAATTGTCGATTTTCAGTATGAAATACTTAATTGAATAACATCTCACGATCATTGCAAAAACGGATACGATTAAGTGAACACTTCAAATTCGTGATCCATCTCTTAATTTTGTTATTTTTTAAGAACTGACAACCCCATTGTGTCTTACGTTAATAGACGTTTTAGGATCGGACCGAATGCTGGTACGTAAATTGACAAAATACTGATTGAAGTATTATTGTAATTAAAAAATTTGATTTACAAAGTGGAATTTTATTTACGTACCTTAGATTCTCTCCCATTTTCAAATCTGAATATATTAGTTACGTATTATAAAAGATCCTACCAGTAATTTAAAATGATTAATAGTTAAAATGATGACTGCCAGTTTCCAAGAAATATTCCTTAATTTGTCTTACATTCAAAGCATTCGAAGTTTGTGAATTAAAAAATTATAAGCGATGCTCGTCATACATAACATCAAAAGAGAAATGTCCATTCCTACGAACGAATAATTTGTACAATTTCCATGTTAATAAGCAAAGAATATGATAAAATGAACGTATTCATCATTTTTCCCATATTTTTTATTGAACATTGAGAGTTCAACCTGTTTAAAACGAAAAATGGCTTCAGTAAAATTTATTTCATTTTTATATATATTATATATATATATTAATTTTAGTTATCATTAATCTTCTTAATTGTTGAATTCATCGTAATGGCATTCTTTAAGTAAGAATTTCTACTGATTTGCGCACGTTTATTTCAAAACTGGCTCTTAAGAAGTGAAAAATTGATCCAAGAATGATCGAATTATCAACAACAACCAAGTAGTGGCAGACTTCAGTCAAGAACATACATGCTTGATCGAACCCTTTTCTTTCCTCAATGTATATATTTTTCTTCCCGTATCAAAATAGGATACAAAATTCTACTTTAGAGAAGAATTCAGTCGAATTCTACAAAAAATTTCATGTTAAAGGAGTGTCAATGAAAAGTGGAAACAAGAAGCATTTCTCTATAAGCGTTTTTGATCCCTAATTAATTAGAGGAATAATATTATGATGTATATTACCTTAGTGTTCATTCGCCCTGAACTACGTATTTCCCCTTTGTCGCTTCCACCTCTATGAGACATCAGCATCCAACCAATGAGCATTCATCTACCACCCTCTCCACCAATCCCTAAGACTTCTCACTTGATCTCATCCCCTCAACTCCAACCACATCCACCAATGAGTTACTGCGACCCTCGGCCATGATGTAGTTATTGCTTCCACCCCCAAAATGGCTCCAAAGAAATCGCGCGGGTATTAGAACGACCGATTCAAAATAAACGGGTGTATTAATTTGAGTAGAAAACATCACCTTGGTAGGCGGCTGTAGACAGTATGTAAGAGTCACCTGAGCTTATGGTTATACACAATATTTACGGAACTACGTCGAAGGCAGAAATACCTCTGAGTTTAAACAGGGAAATGTGATTTGGTGTTTTGTTTATTATAATTGACTAGTACGTATCGATTAAATGAATCACTGGTGTTGGTGTTGTGAAAGTGGTTAATTCTTCCAACCATAGTTGAGCTTACGTAATTAACATTTAAAATTAAATGAACTCTTCACTTTAAACGACTACATTTCAAATCAAAAGATGTTTGCGAATGGAATCAGGCTGTCGCATGAGTCTCTCTATTAGTTCCATTTCTTTAGGTACCGAGTGATTGCATCCCAGTGTACTGCTATGCAGGAGCCAAAATCTTTTCTAATAAGAGATCTGCTTGGGGATGTACTCGCTGAACGTGTTCACGGTGAGTTTATAGTCATTTTAATATTCTGATTATACAATTAATCAATTCTATTCCATATTGACATGGATTTGCTTGATTTTTAATTCAGCTGAGAAGAATTTGAATTATCCATTTGGCAACTATTCATAGATTTGGGTATATCGTTAAAATACGTAAATTTGATTAAGTTATCTCGTACGTATCGAATATTAGACAATTCATCATCACTTGGATGAATAAATAAAATTTCCCACATAGTGAATAGGACATTTCCCATGTTATATCCAATAAAACATAAGATGAAAATTATGAGGATCAGTCGCGTGCCTCTGACCAGGGGGTAATAATACATCTCGTTAAGCAGGATTGTCCCCTGCGGTTCAATTTCAATAACTGCACTACTATGGGGGGTTCAATTCTCTACACGAGGGCGGGAAATGTTTCGTTGATTTCGCAGATGGCTCAATCGGCACTAACAGGCTCGTTAGTAAAAATCTCAATGATGAAGTTTTTTAGCGTGAAAGTTAAAATGTAAAAGGAATAAAAGCTTTATGTTGGATTCTAGATGAGTCGGGTGATGATTCAGCACTCCATTCAGATTCTGAAGACACGATTGACCCCGGCCACAGCCCTTGTACCCGACTGAGGACTTCTCCACCTGTACTCTCTCCCTCGCCAGGTCCCATGCAAAATTGTGGACCGTCCGCAAGTGCCACTAGCAATCGAAAACCTCGACGAAGACGCACGGCTTTTACTCATGCACAATTGGCATATTTAGAGCGTAAATTTAGGTGTCAAAAATATCTCAGTGTCGCCGATCGCAGTGATGTTGCTGACGCATTGTCCTTATCTGAAACCCAAGTAAAAACTTGGTACCAGAACAGAAGGTAATTAGTCATTATTCAATACAAATTCGCTATTGAAGTAGAGAAGTAAGGTGGGCTAAATATGATAAATTTTTCAATCTTGATCTTGATTCCCTGAATCACAACTTTCAAAAATTAGGAGTAATCATTACCTGAATAATATTGTTTGCTCTAAATCTAACTAAGACACAAATTTGACCGAAATTTGCTCTGTTTTGAATTGATTTTTTTGACTATTTATGATTAATTATCGGTATCAATCATTACCGACGGCAATGTGCAAGTTGTTAAGGCATCAAATTGACATACAGAGGGTTGTGAATTCGATCCCCGCCGGTACATAGTGAATGTCCATACAGGGGTGGGTGGTGGTATGGGACTGGTAAAGGCCTGCAAAGGTATACGATCGGAAATAGTAAATAAAGTAGTAGGAAAGTCAATATTTTACCTCTACTTATTAATTATTAACATATGGATTAATTGCCAGATATAATGATTCATTCATCAGTCACCCACAGATTTAGATTATTCAAATTATGGCGTTTTTATCGCTTGATAACTTCCATCAGTAAATCTTCGACCCATCTCTGGCAGGCTATTTACAGAAACCGTCTATAGAGTATATCTATATAGACACCTGAGTAGTTTTCCGTTCTTCTACACAAAACAACAATGCTTCGCTTTACTCAGCTGACAGTTACTTTAAGCATTCTGTGCACGCAATTAACGTCTTCCGATCCGGGGAATGATATTACTCGTCTTTGATTTGTGCTTTCAATTTCTGACAAGCCCAAAAACCCGTTTCCGCAATCATGTCGAAGTGTACTATTTACTTGCCAATACATATCGAAGTAAACTAAGGCAAGTATTGCATAATTAACTTTTGCAGGGAATATAAGGTTACAGGGTGAGTCGATGGTAAGTTCTGTGAGCCTATGAGATTTTTACGCCCAGCGGGAGTAAAAAGCGCGATCCTAACCTCGCTTCGCTCGGCTCGACCGCGCCTTTTATCCCTTGAGACATAAAGTAGCATATGCACCACGGTCGAAAAGTGTTTTCTCCCGGGGGTGCCTAATATACTATTATTCCCCTACAGAACGGAGTGGAGCAAGGATAGGATCGAACTTTCCAGTCCTTACGGAAATAAAATATTGGTCGTCATTCGGTCGACAAGGACTTTTCTGACCATTCTGCACACATTCCTCGGCTTCGCCTCGGACTGTAAATGCTCAATCGCCGGAAAAGTTCCTAACCGCCTAGTGACGAAATATACTTTTTTTGTTGGTTAATCCCCACGGGGACAGTCTGCAGGCGAAGTTTTACGGCCGCACTGTCGCCGTGAAGTGTGATTTCATATACTAGGTGACAAATAATATGTATTAACGTCCATTCAGAAACCCGAGTGGAAATTACCTCAGAATACCCTGAAGTCGGATCAGTATTTGATCCGATATTCGTCAAGTTTGCTTGATCAGGCAATGCTTGATGAGAAACTTATCAAGTTTTGATCAAGTTACTTGGATTCGAATTATCGAAGATGAATTACGAACCGGTTTTGATCTGGTCCGCTTGATCATTAAAGTGGATAATGTGTGGATGTAGTGATAAAATTGCATTATTTTTTTGTTTTCAGCAAATAATTATTGTTTATTCGCATCGTCCAGTTTAAATAAGGTTGACTTGATCAAATCCTGAACTGGTTGACCTGATCAAGTCTTGATTAGAAAAAGCGTGACATGACTAATCAGGATTTGATCCAGTTACCATATCAGATCCTGATCTATTATTACGCCTGATCTGATCAAATCCTGATCTGGACCTGATCAAAACTTCCACTCTGGAAAGTATCGCTGTATGCACGAGTATTACAGTGTACTATTTTTTACAGCAATTTAAGTACACATAATGAAAAAAAAAATTTGATTAATCAATTCACATCTGTCAAAAAAATTTATTGGGCACAATTAAATCTGAATAAAAATGTCCGTGGAAACCTATGCGTATTCTTGGTATTAGCCAGTTTTCGTGACATAGGCCGCAAACGTCAATTTATTCAGACCTCCGACTATATTCGTCCACTTGTTCTCAGAATTTATCTGAATTACTAAAAACGGTACAATTCGTATGCTTTTAGATTTCCTGATCATAAAGTTTAGAATTATAGAGGAACCAAATCGGCATAATTATTGTTTCGTGGATAACGGTTTGGTTATTGACACCAAGTCAATGTCATAAGTGGCTTCTTCGTCTTCATCTTCGTCTCCATAACCAACCATCTATTTCAATATTTCATTGATATTTGCATCTTCCTCGAAAAGAAGATCGCTGTAGATTTAAACAACTATTCCCAATCTCCCTGAAGATTTTAAAAGAAAAATGAAAAAATTAATATTTTTAATACTTTTAAATGAAAAAAATCGCACGTCAATACAAATCTTAAAATCATACAAAAAATTGATATTCTTTTAAAATTGTAGTCCGATCCAATATAGGCATTCAAGGTGAATTTTTATAAAATTTCTGTTAAACTTCTCAGTAAAAGTTCTATTAGTTTTTGCGCTCATCTTGTCAAATATTGTATAGGAAAGGTCGATAGATTTTGAATTTTTGATCCATGAACAATCGAAATATAAATAGTTGATAGAAATGTAATATTCTCTAATGAATGAGAGTCATAAAAACTTAAATTTTTCGCGAATTTTCAGGCATTTATTAAAAATAGTGTGTGTGTTTCTTTCTGAGGAGTTGAGAAGAAAATATTGATTCATGTTAACGTACCTTGTTTCGTTGAATAAATGCTTTATCTTCTTTGTCGATGTATCACGCATGCAGATGTCAGTATTCACATGATACATATTCAATAATTCTCTAGTAGCTTCATTTGTCGTCACAGCAACATCTTTCTCGACAGCAATGTCGACTAGATCTTCGAACTTACATTTAGAATCTATAATTTTCGTTTCAACCGTCACACATGCTTCCTTTCGAGATCCGTACTTCCAAACAGTCTCAGTCGGTTCCGCCAATTTGTCCATCTTATGGACCGAATGTGAGTTATCGTAGACTGCACTCTTCGCGTTTCCCCAAAATAGTGCATTTCTGCAAAACATATGCAGCAGCTTCGCATGCCGTGCATTTCGGTATGACATATTGTACATGATGATGACACGGAAAAATCTGTTTATTAGAGGGTAATCGATCCCCACAAATTTCGGAGATTGTGTTACTGATAAATGGCCTACCAATTGCTTGTCATCTTTGCGGCCTATTCACGTTTGCTTTCGGAGACTATTCCCTACAGAAAAAGCACGAAGTGCGATAGAAACGTTCACAGTTGACATATAACCGCTAGTCTATATATATATTTTCATTTTTTTGTATTTCAATTTCTTCTGACGTCATGGTTTTCTATGTTCCGTCTCTACCAAAATATTGGCACACATCGATCCAACGAGGTTCAAATGTGCAATGTTGGTCCAACAGTAAAGCCCTTATCTTTTGAAAAAATATTCGTTGATCAGTCATTCATAGGCCCCACACAGCTTCTCCAATATTCCTTAGTTGAAACAATAATTGAATAATATTACATTGCAATGAACATCAAATCATAAAATGGGTTGAAATTTCGTTGAAATCTTCATTCATTAAAATCAGGGGAATATAATACTTGAAAAAACTCGGAGAAGTAGGCGGTTGATATAATAATAATAATTACTGTTATTATTACAATTATTTGTTAATTAAATTAATAATGGAAATCCTCAGTAATCTACTGATGAGTTTCTCAATCCATCAAAGAATGACAAAAATGGGCAAAAACAGCTGACTCAAATTTATTAAGTCGTTTTTATGTTCCTACTACAATACTTAAATAGTGTTAGGTCAGTAGGTAGAGCGTAGGATTCGTGTGCGAATCGTGATCATGAGTTCGGATATTGAACTGAGTTCAGCGGCTGTTTAAGTTTTTATGAAGCTCTTGTTCGACCGAAGACACTATTATTCCTATCTTATGTTTGTTATATTTCTCGAAGATGTGAAATTAGGAAGAAACTTTTGAGCCCTTAGTTTATGGTTCGCGTCTACATATTTCATTATTTTCAACAAGCAATAAAATTGAAAAAAAAAACGGAAGCATCTCTATTTCAGAGTCAATTTTCACAGCTATACACCTTGAACATATAGGGGAGAGCCGAGCAAAACGGGGCTTAGGGACAAAATGGGACACTTGCGGAAATGTATTTTTATGACACTCGGCCTGCCCTTACACCGTACTTCCTCGTACTTCTTCGACGTTAGCCGGACCTTGTAACCTAAAGTAATATGTACCTTCGGCGCGGATTCTGGTGACATACGTTTCCAAACTACTTTTCAGCACTTCTAGCATGAATTACTATCAACTCATTCCCATTCATATTTTTTCTGCCAAAAAATGTTGGAGATCGTCTGAAAGTGTTCGAGTTTTTTACGATTTGCATGCCATAGGTGTCCGTCATCAGTCGATCCTAAAATCGCGGATGACGGGCCCAATTACATATAAATAGAGTACGAAACACTTGCGTTATGGATTTTTTGCGGTTGGAGGGAGGGGGGGGGGGCTGGGCTCGTTATCTTCACGTATTGTATGAAAGCTAGAGATAGCCCTAGCTACAGACTGATGACATTTTACTGGTAGAATTTTTCCTCCTGAAGGATAAGGGTTATTTTACTTTTAGTGGATTTTACCGTTTAATAACAATTTTTCGTAAGCATCAGAATAAAGATTCCTTAAAAGTGAGCCATGGTATACTCTCATCCTACCGTAAGGATAATTTTTCTCAAGAATTTCTCTCTGTGCAGGCATGGGCAAGCTCCAGCTAGCTCGGAGCCACAAACTCAAATCAAGAATCTAATACAATTTATACCCATTTCAATTATAAAGGGTCTAGTACGAGCATAGCGGGGACCACACAGTTACTGATTCGGGGAGCGTCCCACGAACCCTCTATCAAACGGAAAAGTGAGAAAAATACTCTCCGCGGTTAATAA